AAGTGTAAGTGCATGGAAAGTGATATAAAAAAAACCCAAAAAACCAGACAGCAACTGTGTGTTTCTCCAATACCAGCTCCAGTAGAAAGGGGAGAAAATTGTCTAAGCAATGCATATATAGCAGCACTATGCTGAGAGCACAGAAGTTTAATGCAATCAAGAAAAAGAGATTATAGGCAATTAGGTAATCTCAGAATATATTTATTTCTGCTCTTTTGGGGAGGTGGAAGGGGGGAAGGGAGTGGTACTGCAAAGCTACAGGAAAGGGATATGAAATATTGGAATTGCATGGCATGAGTAAGACTAGCAAGCCCAGCACAAGCCACAGAGCACTGGCTGTGTAGTACAATATTTCAGGAACCTTAGGAAGCAACTTTATGCTGGTAGCTAAGCAGAAGTGCAGAAGTGCTGGTTCATACACTTTCTTCCCAGAATTCTTTGCTACTTTTGAGGATAATTCATAATCATGTTGCAGTGGAACTCAGTTGCTGTTCTGCAGAAGAAAAAGTGTAAAAAATGCCAGCAGACAACTTATTTGCATGCATTGGATTTCTCTCAAAATTATTGAAGTGATCCGACTTTTCCTTCTTTTTGAAATGCATTCTTTTACTGTATGCTTTATTGAGCACTGTTCATAACTAAGAAATGTGATGAACTTTCCCTCATTTTAGTCTAGCATTGAGTGTTCAACCACTCTTGGAGGAAACTTCCAGTGCGAGTGTCCAGAAAGTAGAAAGTTGACACCAATGAATAAATGCTTCCTCGAGTTCTGTGAAAACAACATTATTCTAAGCTCTTTCTTGCTTGTTACCTATTCCAAACATGTACTCCTGCCAAACCTCTTGCACCTCTTATCCTCTGGTGCTTACTTCATCTGAATGGATTGTAATGAGAAAAGTGACAGAATCATACTTTGGTGATTCCATAGGTAAAGCTAAGGTTAAGTTCTTATGAACCAGTTAATTTTCACAATATTTACAATGCTAGCTATAGGTGGAAGTCACTTATTTACATTTTCTGATCTCCTCAGCACTGTTCAAGACCTTGTCTGGAAGCTGCCCCTAAGCCCTGTACCTTTCAGTATTTATATACAAATTTGCCAAGTGTATCATAATGACTTTTTAATTCACTTATAGAATAACTAGTCAATATGTACACATTGAGAAGAAAAACATACATATTTGCAAGCTTACCTTATTCCTAGTTCTTGGAATCTACTGAACAAATAATATATAAAATATATTGTCCAAAATGTACATGTTCTGATCCTCTATACGTGTCAACAACTAATTTACAAGTCACATCTACTGTACAACTTTGGATTATTAAAACACCGTCCTTCAATTTTTGTTGTTGTTATTTCAGGAAGACATATGTGCTCAAAAGTACATAAACAGGAATGGAAACTGAAAAGCAACAACAAAATAGGACTGTTATTTAGGCCTTGATTCTGAAAATATGTTTTGATGTTAAATATCATTTTTAAAAGCCTTAGTATTTCAACTATATTTATACATGTAGTACCTAGAGCTATGCAAAATTGAAGTGCACCATCTAAGGAAACACACCTCCCATACCTGAAATCTCAAGATATGATAGTTTGTGATGCTATCATGAAAATATGATTGAGTCTGTTGTCATATGTACGTGAAACTTTGTACAGTTACGTTACACTAAAAGTTCCAATTTCTTGTAAATTGTATTATCCTTAAGGACTTCCTTTAGTCTGTTTGTTTGTTTGTTTGTTTGTTTGTTTGTTTGTTTCAAACCTTCTCAGATGTACAGCTCTACTTCTGGGAGCCAAACATAGCAGGGGGAGAAAATTATGAAATGCCAAAACAAGCCCAGTGCCAAAATAAAATGCGAGCAAGAAACCATAATTGGTTATATATATTTTTAAACTGTGGCCAGTGTTCTTTTTATACTTCATAAAAGAAGTTGAGAGCAAAGAAGAAAGGGAGCATTTCTTTTCATTTTCTGGAAACACTGGGGAAGAGATACAGGAAAGAAAGAAAGAAAGAAAGAGTCAGGGCAAGGGAAAATCTTTTTATGAGGATGCGAAGAAGGCAGGCTGGTGCCCTCACCAGTCTTTTATATAGCAGGGCATCCTCTGACTGGTCAGAGCAATTTTTGTAGAGTAATAACCTGACTGTATCTCTTGCTTCCTGACCTGGATGAAAAGAGACGGGTTCTTAAAAAAAAAAAAAAAATAATAATAAAAAGAAAGTGCGTTAAGAAGAAGGGGGAGGGAGTAGGGGAGTATTGGAAAATACTGGCTTGACTGCTCCATCACAGTGCCTGGTTTACCGATGTGCACTTCTATTCCTCTGTTAATTTATCTCTTGTCGCTCTTCCTTCTACTACTGAAACAGTAAATAAGTAAGTTTGTGGGTGATTGTTAGCTGTGAACATTTTGGGGGCCAGTGAAGTGAGGACACAGCCGAGGCTCCAGGTTGTGGCCTGGCAATGCTGAGCAGGTTTAGCTTCAGCTGGAGCCGGAGCAAAGCTGCTCTCAGCCTCAGCCGCTGCTCCCTGCGACTGCTGCGTTTGTTAATAAGGAGACAAGCGACGAGAGCTAAAAAGGGAAAAGCAAGCGTCTTGAGGGAACTCTCAGCAACAGTAGCGCACAGTCTCCTCCAGCTTATTTTTTGTATGTTAAAGGAAAAGGGAGAGAGAGCTGCCATCCGGCCAGCCACGGAGCTGCTCCAGGGCCGCACCTGAGTGCGGAGAGGCTGGACCCGAAACACTTCCACCACTGCGGGCAGCTGCGGGCTGTGGTGCGGTGGGAGGCTGCACAGCCGGGGTCACCCTGCCCGTGTGCTGAGCCCGCTGCCCTGCCCACGCTGCCTGCGGGCTGCTCTCGGGAGCGGACCCAGCGGTGAATGGCCCCCTCCGAAAACACTTAATTCCCACCTCGGCCAGTAACTTTGTGATGGGAAGCATCAGCCCTGCCGCTGGAAGGACGGGAGCAGGGAGAAGCCGTGCAGCTGGGCAGAGGCCCGGAAACAGAAGCAGTAAGGGATGGGACCCGTGGTACCTGTCCTCTCGGCCGCTGCACATGTGAACCGCTCTCAGACATGAGAGCAGCGCTGCTCAGACATGACTGGGCGCACGGTGGCTGCAGCCCCGGCGCTCGGCACGGAAGCACCCCGAGCTGCGCGCACACCGGAGCAGGAGTGGCACAGGGGAACCCCCCGCCCCCCCGTTGCACCGGCAGCAGAGGTGCCCTGGAGCTGGCGTGACAACAGGGGATGCCCCTGCCCGCCTTGTCTGCCTGCCGGGGTACTCCGCGTACCCACGCTGAGCCGAAGCTGAGGGAGGGGCACCTCCGCACACACGGGGGAATCGGGGCTGGCATCCCGCGCAGACGGCGAGCCGGGCGGCGGGCTATCCCTGCCGTGCGGGCACACGCGGTGCCCCCGCGAGCAGTCCCCCATCCCCCGCCGGATCGGCGGGAGCGGCAACCCGGGCGCGCACGCCTCGGAGCCCGGTGCTGCACCGGGGCCGCCGCCGGGGGCACCTCACCCCTCACCCCGGCAAACCCCACTCCCGGGGCCGGCGGCGCCGCGGCCGGAGGGCAACAGGCGGGCGGGCAGGCGGGCGGGCGGTGTCAGGCCATAACTTCGCGCGGCGCCGGCGAGCAAGTTGCGCTGCCGCGCAGGACGCGCCCGCCTCCGCACCCCGCCCGCGCGGCCGGCTGCGTGCCCGCGCTCGGCGGCAGCCAGCGAGCGGAGCGGAGCGGAGCGGAGCGTGTTGTGTCTGAGCGCGGGGGCGAGCGGCACCTGCCGAGGGCAGCGGCGGCGCGGAGCGCTGGGCGGCGGCGAGGCCGGGCGGCTGCGGCGGGCGCGGAGCGGAGCGGAGCGGGCTGGGCTCGGGCTGGGCTCGGGCTGGGTCCGCGCCCGGCGCCGCCGCTGCGCCCTCCCGGCTGCCAGTCCGCCCGGCTCCGGATCACGTGGCGGTTGCCGGAGGCAGAGACTAGAGAGGAGAGAAAAAAAAAGCGCCTCATTCCTTCTTCCACCGCCATACTGTATTTTATAGTAACTCTCATTTTTATTCCTCCCTTTTACTCCCGCTCGGTGAGTACCTTTCCGCTGACATTCTTGTCCTCCTTTTTTGTCCTGTTTTTTTTTTTCTTCCTTTTGTTTTTTTTTTTTTTTTTTTTTTTTTTTCTT